AAAAAAAAAGCCGATAAGCAGCACTGTGCTAATAAAGAGAACAAAGTAAAACGGAAGAACTCTGACTGTGAGAGTGACTGTTCAGCTTTTATGCTTGTGCTGGAGATTCAAGGATTCAAGAGTTTTTACTGTTTGACATTTTTAAAAGCTCCGAGGTTTGCTGCTGGTCGGAAGGCCATTAATTAGGAGTAATTTGGGAGGTTTGGTTGAGGTCCTGCTGATTACAGCCTTCTTTGTGGTTACATTTATTGCAGAGGAGAAAGAACGCAAACATGAAAAATTTCATCAAAGCTGCTTTAGGTATGTTTTTTTTTTTTTTTAAGGAACTTTTTAAATAACTGTGAGATTTCATTTTTAAACTTCTCTAAAATCTGGTGTTTGAGAGTTGTATGTGATACATTCACATTTTAATCTGACACAAATTTTTAAAATCCTGTTAAAGCATTTTTTTTTAGGAAAGAACCTATATGTAAATAAAGTCATTGATTCTTTTTAAAAGCTGTGCAAAACATAAATTGGGAAAATCTTCTAATATATTGCTTAAACTGTCAGCCTAAAGAGCATTTAGTTTTGATCACAGAGGCATCCAAACAACATCCAAGAGGCCTGTTGTTTCTCTAGGGGAGATGCAGTGTTCCAAAGATCAGGTGAATGAGTCAGTTTGGAAAAAAATAATAGATGTCCGCTTCACTATGGCTTTTATTGAAGAGTAGCTGAATAATTAAAAACATGGTGAATAAATAAGCTCCATCTCCTATATTGGCAGACACACAGTACATGGAAGGAGGCCTCTCTGCTAGAGGAGAGCAAAAATAAATCTCTGTCTCAGATGGAAAATGTTTTTTTGTGAATCTAACCCTGCACAGTACAGTTTTGGTAGCACTATGTTGAGGGAAAGTTTTTTATATGTAGGGTTTTGGAAATTGGTCAAAATTGATAAAGATGAAAGGCGGGACATTTGGGACAATGCTGCTAAACACCTGTTAAAGGCTGCAAGACACTTAAGTATGGGATTCAAGAGCAACAATAAAAACAGAATGATGGGTTAGTTTACGTCAAATCATATTCATTTGTAGGAATATGCTAGTCAAAGTCGAGGCTAAAATTAAACTAGGAAAAGGGAGGATGAATTAAAAGAATTTTAATATACAGGAGTTTTCAATCAAGTCAGCTTGAGCCTGAGCTATTAGAAATGGAAAAGCAGGATTTACAATGCTGGTAAATACATGAAAACACATGGTTCTGTAATTGCACAGAAAAGTAGTCTTCCAAATTTTGCCTCAAGTGGGCTGATAAAATGCAAACAACACTTTTTAGATTTTTTTAAACCATTTTTAAAGCCATATTAATTTTTTTTCTCCTTTCATGATGTGCGTTTTCTATCACAGGAAACCCTACAAGATACTTCTGACTTAAAGCACTTCTAAAGACCTTTCAGTTTTGCTCCATTTTGGCTCCCCCAGTGCACAAAAGCTGCATTGTTTTGCCTGAAGAAGAACCGCATATCCCATGAAGACCAGCACATAGCATGGCCAAATGCTTATCTCCTGGTCAACTGCAGTTGGATTGATCTAGATTTCTGTTTCCAGTGACTGTATGAAACATGAATAGCAATCAGGTAGTGCATCTAATTGTGGCGACACAATGTGATATGATGATGTTGAAAATAAGAAACAGTTAGCTTTGGTTTTGTACCGTATTCACCCCCCACCTCACCGATTCGTAAAAAAACGGTGTGCTGATGACTTTAGAACCTTGAAACAGACACATATAATGTCATGTTTGATCATTTCATTGTAAACACACATATATAAATCCCAGCAGGAAGGTGCTGCATTGCCTGAAATCAACCCTGCACAAATATACAGTCTTCCAGGGAAATTAAGACGTATTGACTTACTTCTTTATAACGAATGGGTAAAGAGGGAAGTGATGTATGCCGTTAAGCAGTCTGCACATTAGTAGTTGTTTTGTGTAGCAGGGTTACTGCCGCACTCCTCAAAGTGGTTTAGTGCTGATGAAAGAGATACAGAGCCCCTCGGGCCATGACAGAGGTGTCACTCCAGTAGTTGAATATTGATTTATAATCACAAAAGTTATGAAAATATTTTTTGAAGGTTGAAAAGTTAGGGTTAGTTTAATAAAACAGGGAAAAAATCAATCAAGGGGTGAAAAAACATAATTGCTAGATTTATGCAGAACTCTTTTGTACCTTGGCATACACGCCAAGGCAAATATGAGTCAACCAATGTACTTGTCAGGCTCCAATAAACCTCTTATTAGCGCTCTTTGATTGCTTTCTGTGATGTGGGATTTTTGAACCATTGGTAAACACACCTGACTCGACTACTTGGAAAGCTTTGATGCAAAAACAGGAACCCTTTTCAAAGTTTTATTTGTTATTGTTTGAACAAACATCAGTAAAATCCATCAACAGCACTGTCGGGTAGATATTTTATAGTATAGAAGAACAGGTTTAACACACAAGCTGAACAGAAATGCAGAGTTCACTCCCAGGCTTCATTTACCTGTTTTTTCTTGCTCCACATGCTAATTCATTTTCTTTAAAGTAACTTGCTGTGAGTATTTTCTGATCATAAGTAGGCTATGTTTCTCTAAGCTTGCACTATATTATCTCCTTATTGAAGAAGAGGAGCTGCTCTGCATGCTTTCAAATACTTGCAGGTCATTACTGAATACCTTAACAGTTCAGTTATTTCAGCCAGGTAGAGTTTCCCGACTGGCTGTTCTTTTGTTTAACCCTAGACGTGAGTAAACTGACCTATCCAGGTGTTCTTTGTCAAAGAAAAACTGAACTGGTGTCCTTGGTAAAAGCAATGTGACCCAATAATCCTTCACCTTCAGCAAATGTGCTGGAACAGCAGTATGGTGTGTGTGTGTTTTGTGCAGTTGTCCTGTCAGAATGAGACCTTGTGTTATTCTCATGAGACAGCGGGGCACGTGTGACCCCCACCTCCTGACACACACACATACGCAGAATGCACATTCATCAAGTGGTACAAACTACACAAACCTCTGTTTGTCTCATGAATATAAATAAATACACGACAGTTTATGCAGGAGAGATGCTGTTAGTCTCTCTCACACACACAGACACACCCTCATAAGTAGTCTAACCCTGATCACCAAGTCTTTACCTTCAGATAGAGAAATTTATGCAGCTGTGACCTGCTTTTGGTCCCCACAGAAAACACACAAACTTCCCACAGAGTGGCTGTGTAAACCCGTTAGTCCTCATAACAGGAAGAAAAAAAGAAATCTCTGCACACATTATGTTAATGATGACCTTCACAGATCTTACCCTGTTTGTATGTCTGCAGTTTAATGTGCCTGTGTGGATATGTGCAGTGTTTGAATATGGCGATGCAGCTCATTCACTGGTATAGTGTGTGAATTAAGTGACCAGACTTCTTTAAAAGAAACGTTGGTTCAGTTGCTTAACACCAATCAGCCAATCAAATGCCAGGAACCTGACGCGGCATGGCAACATTAGATGTGATAAAAATTATTTGGTTAAAGTCTAACTAAAACTCAGAATAATTAAGAAAGGGAATTTGAACATGTCTTGGCTGTCCTGAATAATTAATAAACTGCTGATCTACAAGGCTTTTTTGCTGAGGTTTAAAGAGAATGGATTAAAAAAAAAGACAAATGTTTAGTTAGCAGCATTTGTTTGATTGCGTTGTTGATTTTAAACAAAGTAATCTTGGTCCGTCTGGTTCGAGGTGGTGATCGATGTGTGTGATGGAGGGGAAACTGTGCTGGGAGCTTTATGAAGAGCATTTTGAATGCCGATTGGCTTTTTAGAGGTTACGATCCAGTCGTCGATTGGCTAGAGCTTGAGGGAGGCCCACCAGCAGGTGGTCCAACTGAGACTAATAAGAGTCTTCCAGATAGAATTTTCGCTTAGGCTTCATTTGAGGCTGGAGTGAAGGTATATTTTCTTTGCACACAGTGAGCCTCTTTACACTAACTGAGCATTGTTTAAACACTACAGTCTACTTGAGTAGTCGTTAGAAACAATGGCCATTGCTTTATAACCTCACAGTGCCAGTCTTCTAGTGGATTCTTCAAGCAGAACAACATGGACTAAAACTTTTAAGGGTTGTTTAAAGCATATTTTTTTAATATAATTAATCTATGGCATGAAGCAGTTCCAAACACAAAGTGGGGTTAATCCATGCACTAGTGAGATAAAGGTAATAGACTGGCAGATATATAATAATATTAATTGAACTTGATCTCACACTGGAGAAGTTTACCTCTGCATTTGACCCATTATCTTGGGGAGCAGTGGGCTGTTACTGTGCGGCACCGTGGGAGCAGTGTGGGGTCAAAGGTTGTTTTCAACTCATGTAGTTTAACTCAGAACCTCTGGGACCCAAGCGCACAGTTCTAACCACTAGTCCACCACTCCCCTAGTGTATGTATATATATATATATATTTATATATACTGTAGTTAATCCAAACAAGGCATGTTATCTCTCTGTGAATTTAATGGAATAAACCTCCTTTGTAAGAGGAGCCTGTTTGTGGTTTGAATCAGACCAAGCAGTTTCCAGATGAAACTACAGAGAATTAACTGGATGAATATTGACAGCAGGCATAAAGTAGTGGTGCTAAACAAGCTTGTGTCATTTTAGAGGGACTTAATTAGTAATCCCAAATTAAAGTCTTACTACTTTATGGTT